GCACTCGCCTAAACCGTCTGTTAAGCCCCCTCCCATTGGCTAACCATGAGGGGCGGGCGCGAGGCTCATAGCGCGGGTTCGTTGCCTTCCAGGCTCACACCAAACGCGGTCCTGAGGAAACAAGAGCTGCTGCTGTGGGACTACAACTCCCACAATTCCAAGTGGCAACTGGGAATTACCTTCGGGCTGCCATATCCGGCCTCAAAACTTGGTACGGTCCCTGAAGGGCTGTGGGAGTCGCGGTTTCTGCATCTCTTGGCTGCCATCTAGTGGTCGCCGGATTTTTGGAGCCCAATTATACTAGTCCTAAAGGAAGAAAGTGGTCCACCGTCTCTGGAAGGCAACGTGCTCGACGACCTGATTTTATGTTACGCGTCTGCGTACTCAGGTTTTGGAAACATGGCTCTGTTCCCACGATATGCTTACCCGTACTTATCCTAATCACGGTTTACTCAAATCAACCATGGGGATTGATGCAATACACTAAATCATTAACCACTTAGGCTGTGTTAGCACAACATGCTAGGCAACATGCAGTTAGTTACTTCCTAATATAGTTTGTCTCCGGCTCTTTGGGAATTTATTTTAAGGTAATTAGTGACTGCACACTAAGTTATAATGTTATTGACTTTGGGGTTTGGGCTTAGTAGGCTGCCTACATGCCAGCTGGATTGCCACAGCATGCAGAACTGGCTAGCCAAGCATGTTGCCCAAACGGTATGGTTACTTGATGGTTCAGTGTATCATGTTGACATGGAAAACTTGGGTTAATTCACAATACACAATATGATTGCAGTAAGTGTGTGTTATGATCACACAGTATAGTGATTATATGATTTTATTATTGCATTTTATGCAAACAACATGTTAGGCTGATTAAACCTTGGCCATTTCCAGCTGAGGCTTGTAAAAATTAGAGCCTAATAACTGCATAGCTTTCCTTGAATAACTAGATATGAAAAACAAGGCTGTACAATCACAGAAAATGGAAGAAGTCCATTGGACACCATTCAAACCCAGGAACAGCACCTTCCTCCTAGTCATTAAGCAGATTTGATTAAACCTTGGCCATTTCCAGCTGAGGCTTGTAAAAATTAGAGCCTAATAACTGCATAGCTTTCCTTGAATAACTAGATATGAAAAACAAGGCTGTACAATCACAGAAAATGGAAGAAGTCCATTGGACACCATTCAAACCCAGGAACAGCACCTTCCTCCTAGTCATTAAGCAGATTGACTTTTTTTTCATGCTTCCACGTGAGCCTGGAAAAGGGTTGCAGCTGCTTTAAGCATTGCACTGAGTCACCTCCTTAAGCAGCTGTAACTTTTTTTCAAGGGGGTACAGTCCAGAGATGATATTCTGGAAGCATAGACTCTTTATATGGATGGGCAAAACTCACCAGTTTCTACCAATGCTGAACTTCCTCCAGACCATGCCATTCTGGTTTTACTAGCTGAGCCCATTGAATGACTCCCAGGGCAGCACAGTCCAGAATGGGAAATGCAATCTTTTGTTCCCAAATTAGTGAATTTTACTTGTTCCTAACACTTTTTATCAGCAGCATCCACAGACTCTTGTCAGAAGCACAAAAGCACCTTTGTGGTGCAAGTTCTGCTCCTTTTGGGCATGTGGGCAACATCATGACCCCTACAGAAAAAGGGTGGGGCTTGCATTGTAACATTCTTCTGGCAGTTTGACCCCCCCCCCAGCTCTACTGTCTGTGAACACCACTGCTTTCTTTTATCCTACTGACCGCTATAATAATTAGAAGCAGGGATAGCAAAGGCTTCTCCCCGCCTCCCCCCACCATTTATCTGTTCTACTTACCCGTCACTGGAAGACTAATATTTTCCCCTCCAGCCTGATACACCAAGAACAGAACACCTCGTTTCTCCTTCAAACTACCAACAGGACAGAGAGCTCTGGGGGAAATGGGTGGCATATAAATTAAATAAATTTAAAAAGATGTGTGTGATAATAAAGTTTCAAAGCATGCACATCTGCATGAACCACAACTTGCATCATCTCACAACATTAACCATGTTCAGCCATATATAGACAGCTTTGCATCATCTCACAACATTAACCATGTTCAGCCATATATAGACAGCTTTGCATCATCTCACAACATTAACCATGTTCAGCCATATATAGACAGCTTTAGGTTGTCTTC